TCTTCTCATTTCCCTCAAATCTGTTCTCCCAGTTTTCCTCATCTTAGTAATGGATCCATCGTTTTGTTGCTTAAGCCACCTGAAGCCTTAGACTCATGCTTGATGTCTCCTTCTGACTTCCTCATAGGTTCATGAGTGCAGACTTGCATGTATTTTTTTTCTGTATTTTCTAATGAGATAATTAGGGTGAGGTAGATACAATGGTAAATATAAGCCAGTGTTTTTGAATAAATGGAACTATGATTAAATGTACACAGAACTTTTCAAAACTAGAAGCAAACATAAATAGAGGAATTCAAGAGAGATCCTTAAAATGTTGGAACCATATATGTTAAGAAAGGATCCAGAGTAGGGACAGACTCAGAGATAGGTCCTCCCCAACTCCTGGCAGCATTTTGCACAGATATCAAGAAATAGAGGCAAAAGTGATAAAGACATGGGTCGGAGCAAAAAACGGAAGAGCAGTTTGCAGAGGAAGGTGGAACTGTGGGAGGAGAATCTGTCTTTGTGTTGAGTAGGAGCCAGTTTTTGCAGTACCATTGAGCGAGGCTCAGTCCACAGTGGATTATTGCTTAAGAAAGGCATGTCCTTGTATGGGAATAAATTAGAAGTGAGTCTTATATGTGCAAGGAATGAGAAATAATTCTCATGGGTGTTCATCTGAAAATTTGTTGGTTTGTTGCCAAATGCCACCGATGGCAAAATAGACAGCTAAGGGCTTAAATGGCACTGTTGCAGACAGGCCGAATGAATAAGTGAATGATTAACACATAACCTCCAGAAGAAGCAATGGGTTTTGAAATGTTGCAATGCTACTCTTATGTCTCTATTATTTTGCTTATGCTTATCAGAGATATACGTTACATATATGCTTATTTAAAACACTTTTGATTATAGAGTGATTTTCTTTTTAAGATCAAATGGACAGAAAATAAGGTCAAGGTAGAGATTAACGGTTTTGTTTTGTTTTGTTTTTCACCATTTACCCAACCCAAGAGGGCTGAACGTGGCCATCTTTTAAAAATTTTTTTCACTGGTGTGTTTCAATTTATTTCTGATTGATTACCTAGTATTCATACAACAAATATCTTGGAAGAGTTCAGAAAGGTGGACAAGCATCCTCTCTAACAGTCTATCATAAACAATTTACTGAGGTGTCATTCCCTCTTTAAATTGATAATGAATTGTGATGAGTAATATAAACTACCAAAATATTTTAACAGAAAGGGAAATATAGATAACTGAGGTGACTTTTTCATTTATTCTTCAGGAATCAATCACAACTTCCAAAGGAGAATTCTGTCATTCTGTGTTAGATTATTAATTTAACAGTCACTTTTTTGGCTAAATGATTTTTATGGAAAATGACTGACAGGGTTTTTTGTAAAAGTGAATGGCTTTATAGCAGATTAATTATTGAATATGTAAATCAATGTTTTAAACATACAAAAAGTAGATAATACTTATTTGCTTTACAAAAGTATTCTTATTTTCTCAAGGGATTCACTTAAAATTTTAATAATTATTGGACTCATCTATTATGTTGAAATTAAAAATTAAAATGAATATTTAGATTCTTTAATCAATCATTGTTATGAACTCAGAGTCTGTGTCCCCCTAAAATTCACATTAAAATCCTAGTCCTCAATAAATTGGTATTAGGAGGAGGAGGTCTTCAGGAGGTGATTAGGTCATGAGGGTGGAGCCCTCATGAATGGGATTAGTGCCCTTACAAAAGAGATCCCAGAGAACTCTCTCACTCTTTCTGCCAACGTTGAGGACACAGTTAGAAGACAGCAGCTGTCTATGAACCAGAAAAGGGGCCCTCACCAGACTCCAACCTGCCAGCACCATGATCTTGGACTTCCCAACCTTCGTAACTATGAAAAATTAATGTTTATGGTATTTTTGTTATAGCAGCCCAAATGGATTAAGATAGTCACTGAGTCTTCAAAAATTCCTATCCTATATAAAAGTATATGCTACCATAAATTCTGTTTTTAATATTAGTGGTTGACTTGAATGTGAAAAATAACTAGCATCTTTACAGAACACATTTTGTTTTCAATTTTTGCAGAAAGAAAAAAAATCCTCTAGAGGATTAACAATAATATCTCTTTGTATAATTATCTTATTTCCTTTTATATTTAGCAAAGAGAAAAGTTGATACCATTGTAACTTGGTTTGTGCTTTGTTAAGGAATTAAGGCTTGGTGTCCTTAAGCAACTTAGACCCAAGGCAGGAGAGCATGCATTGAAAAGTATAAAACAATTAATGCACTACTAAGGAAAAGTGTTTTCCTACACCAGAGAGGGGGCATTTACTCTCGGACTTTGGAAGTTATCATCATTTACGGTCCTCAGGGGGAAACAGAGTTTTTCACACTTCAGGCACAAAACTGAAAATGCCTAACTGTTTCATTCTCTCCTCCCTACTGAGCTCTGTGTGTTTTTGTTAAAGGAAACATTAAACAACCTGTCAGCATATACGCATTGGATTAGGGGCTCTGATTACGTGGAGGGGCTCTAGCCAGTACAGAAAGACATTACTGGAAACTTAGAGGCAAGAGAATAAGTGTAACTTAGTACTTACTGGCTTGAAGACTCAACTATAGTTCTCTTAGTGTTTAATACTGCAAACCTGTTGTTTTTAATTTTCTGAGTACTGACAACCCACTGTGCTTAAACAGCAGCTCTTAATCAGAACACAATAATTAGATAGTTACAGCCTGCATGATACTTAGATATTCAAAGGGGCCATACTGCACAGGAACAAGTTCACAAAGTTGTTTCTGTTTTCTGATTCATATGATTTCTCTTTAAGTATTATCATAGACATTTTATATTTTGCTTATATCAATCATTCAATATATAGCAATTTAAGTGAATGTCACACACACATAACACACATAAGTACTATGAGAGAGTAACAGTATAAGAATAAAAATTCAATAAGGAACTGACATAAAATCTTCCAAATACAGGAACACAGCATATTTAGCAAGGAGGGAAAAGTTGCTTAGTTAGCAGTCCCTTTAATTTCAAGGTAACTTCACTGGTCTACACACAAATTTCTCTAAATTGATTGTGACAAATGTCCAGTTGTTCTACATCACAGAATGAGAATCAAGTTTTTATGAGAGTATCCCTTAGTTAATGCTAATCCTTTCTAACAAAGGTTTGAATGACAAAGTCTTCAGAATATAGTCAGTTATTACCTATTTCTGCAACTCTACTTTGATACTCTGTCCTCCCCTAGATAACTACCTTTCTCTTTTTATTAATAAGCTTCTAGAAACAGTAATCAAAAATATTTCTTCTTCCATTTATTCTTCCTTAAAAAGTTATTTTTTTTCCTGCTCTTATTGTTCTTCTGAAACTGCTGGTTGACCTTTTGTAGCTTTGGTGTTGAACATATATACTCCTTTTGGAAACTCTGTCTTTGTGACAGACTCCTGCCTTTTCCAACATCAAGTCTTCCTTCTGCTCATTTCACATCAAACTCCATGCCTCCACAATTAGTGAGTTATTTCCACTCCCACTCCCCCTCTCCTAGGTCTTTCCATTACCTAAGCCTGAGTGTGTGACATTTTGTCTGCCTGGAATGACAGCCTACATATTACTTACCTGGTAGGCACTTGATCATCCCTCACATCTATGCCTAACTACAAACCCCCTTATTCTCCTAGGGAGACTAGGAGGTTTTCTTTTCTATTTTTCTATACTGCTCCTGTATCCTCAACAGAGTAATAGCTCCTTGAGTCTTGAGAACTTGCAGTTAATTAATCTGTGCCCACAAATATTAAATTCTGTATGAGAACTCATCTTTTACTTGGGATGTATATATACATAAATATATATATGTGTGTATATATATGACTAAAGATTCATTTATGTAAGTTTTTTGTAATCCTATCATCCATTCTTTAATTGATCATACATTTACAAGATGTTTTATGGACACCTACTATGTGACAGAAACTGTCCTTGCCTTGAGGTATAAAAAGGTAAACAAAACAGAAATGTGCTACTCTTATAGAGCTTATAGTCTTGTTGTATCTAGGAAAAAGTCAGTGAAGTGCATTACTATAGAAAAAGTCACAAAAAGTCTAATGGAGTAAAGCTGAATTTAAAATAACGTCTGCATGCTTACAGATAAAGAATTCCCTTATTTCACTGAAGGCATATGCATCACATCAACTATGCAAGTGACTTTTGTTCTTTATGTAAATTTTCTTTGAATTTTTTTAGCTTACCAATAGATTTATACCCAATTTATATTACTTGTGGGGCTTCGAAATAATAGCATTTTAGATCTCCAGTATTTTAAAATAGTATGTTCACATAAGTAAAACACAATTGTAAATACAGTAAGAGAAAAGATGTAATAAGCTATTGGTACACTTAACAAGCAACCCTAAATTGTGAAAGTAATTCTCCATAATAACGTAAAATGGAGCCAATGATCAATAACATTTAAGTCAGCATGAAAGCTCTTATCCAAAAATATAGGTTAATAATGAAGACAATAAGCTAATTATCTAAATGAAAATTTAGAGTACGGGTTGGCATATGCACAACCTCTGCAGAGAACATTTTTACATTTTAAAAACCCAATATGAAGTGGAGACTGGGAATGGTCTTCCAGATCCATTTCCTGAATCAGATTTGTGGTGTGTTCTTGAGCCGACCCACTCATATATCCAAGGAAATCACTAGCATAGGAGTGAACAAAAGCCCATATGTTTAAAATTATCATTAAGTATAATGCACATGTATAGCCATAAGATGGGAAAGCAGCCTGACAACCAAAGCAATTCTGTACAATGAGAACAGTAAACTTTTAGTATGCTTCAGTAGGATATCTTAGTAGAATTGTTCATGCTCTCTTTTCAAAACCATGAAGACAGCTCCATCAACTAGGAAACTTTTCTAAAATTTTCCAATCTGTTTTTCATACAATGACATAATAAATATATTTTAAGATATCAATAGAAATACCTGGTTTGTTCCACGAAGATATGGAAAACCACCAATAAAGACAGATCCTGATTCTGGCAAGGGTTTTCCAGATATGTGATTGATAGATTCACTTGTTTTCATAGTCCTTCCTAAAATAGTCAGTTCAGCTCTACATGGATCAAATTCTTGCCTGCAACCATTTAGGGAAAAAATTTATGGTTTTAGCATGTGTTGTATAAACATTTGACCAATTAATTAAGCTATTAACAAAAGAAGAAACATTTAAGTAAACAGATTATCTCACCATAAAGCCAACAAAGTTATCAGTAGATTAATCTGTTCTAAATTAGAAACCCTTAATGTTTTAAGTACATAAATACAACGTTAAATTTTGACAAAACAACAAATTGTGGCAATCACTTAATGAAATAAATTCTGATAATAAATGGAACATTCCCATCAGTGACTAAAATGACATTAAGAGCATAATATTCTACTTCAGTTTTTTACATTGTCTAATTTTCTGTGTGAAAAATATTGAAAAGAATCAGGTTTAAATATGGTTATCCAGTGTACAACATACCTTTGACTATAGGAGTGTGTGTGTGTGAGTATGTTCCCAGGCACTCTATTTTATTGGTCTATACTTCTACCCCTGTACCAATATCACAGTCTGAAATACTGATACTTTTTATTAAGTCCAGATATTTGAAGTATAAATCCTCTTACTTTGTTTATCTTTTTGAATTGAGATTATCAAAAAAAATTTTTTTTTCTCTTTATTGTGATGAATTATGCTGTTTTTTTTAATGTTTGAATGCATTCCTGAAATAAATTTACTTGGCCGTAATGTATGTCGATTTTACATAACACAGGATTCACTCTTCTATATATTAAGGAATATATATGTTAAACAGAGTGATTGGCCTCAGCCCTCCTGTCTTGGTATTACTCTTATTAAATTTTGGTATCAAGATGATGCTGTCCTTTTATTATTTCAGAAAGTTAATAAAATATTGACGTTATCTCTACTTTTCAATATTTGTAGAATTCACTAGTACAGCCCCCTGGACTTGGAGTTTTCTTTGAGGAAGTTACTAAGGATGGATTTAATGTATTTAATCAATGCAGATATATATGTATTATCACATCTATTTTACTAAGTTGTGTTTTTTTAGAAACATTTTCATTTAACCTGAATTTTCAAAATTACTGGCATAAAATACTTTTATTTATCCAAAATATTGGCATAAAATATATTTATGCCTAACATTATTGCCAGTAAAGATGTAATTGGTGTTGAGACTCTAACAATGTCTCTCTTTCTTATAATATTGGCTATGTGTGCTTTTTCTCATTTTATTTGTTTTGTAGATTAATCTTGGTAGGGAGTAGCCAATTTCAAAGAACACACTTTTGGCATTGTTGATAGTTGCCATCCTATGTTTATTTTCTACTCCATTAGCTTCTGTTCTTATTTTTATGATTTTCGTCTTTTCACTTTCTTTGGGCTTAATTTACTCTCCTGCTTCTAGGCTGTTTAATCTAACATAAGCTCTCAAGATTGTAAACTTCTAAGAATAAATTTAGCTATGCACAAAAAGTTCTTCCTCATCATCTATTCAAAATATTTTCTAATTTCTTTTGTGATTTTTTTGTTTGTTTGGCCCAAGATTATTCAGAACTGTACAGGGACTTCCTGGTTATCTTTTATATTATAAAATACTATAAAAGCTCAAATCAAGCTTATTCAAAGAATATTCTGTTTGCTTCTGATTCTTGAAATTTATTCACTTAGCCTGCATAGCCCAGCATATGGTCAATTTTAGAAATGTTCTCATGACCCCAGAAAATGTGTTCTGTATATGTGAATACACACACACACACATTTACACATTTTTGTAGTGAATAAAGAATAGGAGCAATGAAATAAATCATATCTATAATGCATATACATTTTTTCTTAAAAAATATTTGGAGATTTTTTTTGCATCCTCCTTTTTATCTATATCATGATAAAAAGTTAATAAAACTAAAACCATGTATAACATGGCAGCCAATATTAATGCTATAATAAAGAGAGTTCTGAAAAGTTTTTGAAAAGATCATGCTGGTCTGTATATTAAGAACATGGGAAAAAATGTACTGAACATTTTTAGAACCCATTTGATATTCTTGGATGCTGTATTTAGAAGCAAACTAGAAGCTTTCTGGGTTAATTACTTCTTACAATTAAGCTGTTAAAAATATCTTAGGGAGGATACAGCTTCTAGGAAGTTATTCATTAAATGATAAAAATAAAAAGCACAACTACTTTTCTCCAATCAATCTTTAAATTTTAATGTTTGGAAAAATATTTCATACTGTTTTGTGATATTGAAATAGTATTAGCAATTATTCACTAAGACTTTGTTAATGAACAAATTTCCCATATTTCATGAAGCAAAGGAAACCCATTAAGCCATCAAACATATTTATTTGGCTGTTGATTATAGCTATAATAACTGAAAAGATAATATATATACAATACATACATATTCATGAATCACTGAATAAAGCCACTAAGATCTTTGAAATTTACTGTTAAATTTTGTTTTTAAAAATAATCAACAGGGTAATCATATTTAATTTTATGTTTTTATAATTATATCAATAAAATATAGGTCAATAATTATACATCTAAATTAAATTTTTCTGATGTGCATAATTTCTCTTATGTGACTACATAACATATTGTTGGATATTTAGTTTCTAAGATTTTAAAGTGATAAATGCGTACTTGATACTAATTTATGAGGTCATATCACTCTTATTTAATCTTAGGAAATGTTCCCAGAAGTAAATGTTTAGTTTTATATTTCTACTCATATAAGATCTATTAGTATTTTCAACATATTCTCTGAATGAAAATCCTTCCCAACAAAGAAATAAATATTTGCCTATATTTTATGTTTATACATGGATTTGAAGGTCACTAATATTCACAATAATATTTCATGTATACAGTATTTCTTCATTTCGTATTTTATAGCTCTTCAGTGTACTTGATTCCGAGTATATTTCTTTAATTACTCTAGTGGGACAATTTATTTTAATATTTGGTATACCAAGTATTCTCTGTTCGAACTCTTCTTAAAAGATTTTTTGACACTTCAGCATGTTTATCATTAAGAATCTATTTTTTATTCCAAATGTTGTCCATGACATTTTTAATCAAGACAATACAATAACAATAACAAAAGTTATTCTACATTCTAAATTCTAAAATTTAAAGGAATACACATGCCTGTATACATACACACAAGTACATACAGGTGTGCATACACACCTGCATATATGTATCTAAAATACATATGCATATGTATTTACATATTTATATTACAAATTAGAATATTTTATCCAAATGAGAAGAAAATTTTTTTTTCTTCCTTTAAAGATCTGTATTTAGTCCATATTCAACAGTGGTGTTTACTCTTATGGATCTGACTAGAGAATAATGAAAAAGTGTGATATAAAATACATATTAATTCAATACACAATGGTTCTAAGTTGTGCAATACAGACCACACACAAATACAGAGTAGAAATATTCCAGAACTGACCTCTGTGTGATTATGATGATTATGAGAGGAAGAGTGAAGAATAAGAGATATTACAGTGTGAGATTTTGAGAGATGGTGAAGGCTAGAAGCGAAATGAATAAAGTGGAGTTTTAAGGGCTTTGTCTGTCTATAGTTGAGAATGAGAGTTCAGTTCAATACCAGATCTTTAAGCTTCACTACTTTAAGCATGTGGAACATGCTATTCTGTATGGAGATTATAGTTCATGCACTACAATGTCAACAGTATGAGGAGACAGAGGCCTTTGTTATGTTACTCCTGTATCCTCATACATACCACAGGGCCTTGTATGTGGCAAACACTACAGTATGTGTTGAATAATGAGCAGTTTTACAAGACACTATCTGAAATAAAAGAGGTGCTTAACGAATGACAGCATTTTTCTTTTGAAGATAGCATGTACTTTACTCTATTTATTAGAAGATATTTCATAAAATGCTGAAAATATCAAAGAGGAAAAAGGCACAATAACCCGCATTTATCAGAAGGAACCATTATAACTGTATTGTAATTTAAAACTGTCATTTCATTACAGAATTTTCCCTGAAGTTGGGAATGTAACATATAAACTCTTTTGGAGTTTGCCTTCTTTGTTAATTTAATAACATAAGACATTTATGTATGTTAATGTTATTCCAAACTATTAACTTCCATGAATGTATAGTAATAGTTCATATGTTTGTACTTTATTTCTAAAATGTTCAATCATTGGTATTTGGGAATCTTTGTATTTTCACTCTTTTCTGTAAAACTAAAATATATGACTGTTTCATGCATCTTGATACACACATCAATGTATTTTCTTAGGAAAATTTCTAGAAGTTAATTTGCGGTATATAAGCTTTCTCAACATTTCCATTATATATTCCTAAATTTTCTTCAAACTTTTTTCTCAATCTACTGTGTCTGTGATGGTTAGTTTTGTGTGGCAATTTAGCTAGGCTACAGTCTCCTGTTATTCAAACACTAATCTAGGTGTTGCTGTTAAGGCATTTTGTAGGTGTGGTTAACATCTACAAGCAGTTGACTTTAAGTAAAGGAGATGACCCTTCAAAATTTGAGTAGACCTCATTCATCAACTGAAAGGCTTTACAAGCAAAACTGAAGTTCCCTTGAAGAAATTCCACCTGTGGATTGTAGCATTAGCCCCCACCCAGAGGTTTCCAGTCTGCAGACCTGCCCCTCAGACTTTGTACTTATCCAGACAGATGCCACGATCATATAAGCCAATTTCTTGAAATAAATCTCTTAATATATATCTTCTGCTGGATGTTTATTTGGTAAAGTTCTGACTGATACTGATTTTGATACCTACAGTACTGAGAATACAGAGCTATCATTTGACCCAACGTATAGGAAGATCTTTTATATTACCTTCTAATCACATCAGTGAAACAGTATTAATGTTAACAGAGTATGGAATTTGATTCTTTAATTGGAGCTGGACCTGATAATAGTTTTTGTTAAAATCTCAAGACCTGTCTCTCTTAATTTGTGTTAGCCACATTAATTCCTTAAAAAGGTTTTCTGCATGAATAGTAACATATCAGGTGACTGGCTTTTGATTAT